TTAAACAGATGTACATTGTGTCTCTTTGCTCTGTATTATAATTTGAACTGTTTCTCTGTTGCATTCAGTTGCAAATGGCAGAGCCCAAATTTTTTTTTTTAAATTGCCTTGGCTGCCTGCCTGAAATGGTAAATTGGGTAAAGTCTTGGGGAGTAAAGGTGACCACATCGATCTTTAATTAGTCTGTAAAATATAAGTCTAGCCCTCTATGCCAAATACATGTAAAGCACATATACTAAAGATTTGTGATGTTTATTTTTCTTTCCTAATCCCTTTTTCTATTCTTCTGCCTGAACCCCTTGAAATGGCTGTTGGCGTGATTTACATCTACGCCTTTCTGCCCAGCATGTCTAATTTCACGAAACCCTATATTAGTTGCCTTTTACATCACGCTTTTGTATGGACCAGTGGGTCTATTCTAACCCCTCTAACCACCATTTGTTAAAATAGGGTGCTGGAACCCACACATTAAATTTATTGACATTAATTTGTAACAATACTTTTTTCCTATCACAGCAGAATAAGATCCTGGGTGACTAAGCAGTTTGTTTAACTTGGTTACTTTATTTAAAAAAAAAAAACTTTCAGAGGATGAGGCAAATGGCTTAACTCTTTCGTCACTAAGAAGGAATTAACTTACCATTAATTTTTATGGCAAGCTTATGTGGTATGCTGTGGAGTTATGCCTTTCTGTTTGACCGAATGCGACGCAAGGCCCACTATTTATACACTTAACCAAGTCATGCCCAATACCTCTGTGATCATAAAGTCAGTTTATTGAACAGTTTCTCCTTGAGCTGTTTGTATTGTGTTGATTTCTTCACTTATGCTGATTTGTTTCATGGTCATTCCAAGTGTAGTGTCCTACGCTGCAAAATAAAAGCATTCAAAAAGTGGTTTCGATAGAGTCAACTATTTGCTAAAGTAACTGTTGCTGGAAACTATTGGAGGAGAGCCTACTCAGTTTCCTAACCTGCAATAATTGTGACAAGCATAGGTTTAGTTTTCACAAAAAATTTACTCCATCTACAAATGCTAGGTAGCAGTGTTCCTTTCTTGATGTTTCCATTGCTTGCCTAAGATTGTAGCTCCTGGAACTCTTTCAATGATCTCTCCGTGCAGTAACATGATATACTTCTTGTCCTTCATCAAGTAGATTTGCAAGTAAGATTGTTTATTCTTTATGCTGGGAGATTGATATTTTTTAGACTCTCTAGTACTTTGTAAATTTTCTATTACTTTATATAATTTGTGTCTGGAGTGTACATCGAATTCCCAGATGGTACTAGGGATAAGTCCAGCGTACCAACCGGGAAGTACTGCCATAACTACGATGCAGAAACCCAGGCTATTAAGATAGCTACAGAGAAACTGCTAAATACCATCCTTAGCTCACAGTATGTGGTAATGCTTACAGATGCTAAATCAGTACTTGAAGCACTCCAGTCTAGGAAACTACCAGAATTGCAAATTTAGTTCTCAACCCTGTTGCCACAGGAAGCCTAAAAAACCAACACTTCTGATTGAGTCAAATTCCCTGTAAATGTCACTTTTTAGACCTGTCTTCAGTGGCGTGTTTATTAGATGCATAGTTTTCTATTGGCTGAGTTGCTTGTGAAACATTTAGTGGGTCAGTATATAAATAAATGAGCAAAAAAATAGCATTTAGCGGATTTTTCAATAAATAGCTTTTTTTTTAAAGCCAAGTTGAAGTAAAATTTCAAGTAAACCTCATTGATGGAGGTCGTAGGGTCATAATATGAGTTACCCAATACATATATGTATTATGTAATGCTTTTTTACTCTGTCAGTGTTTATGGATCCTTTAAATATCTTTTAATATCTCAACAACAACAACAAGTTTTCTAATGTAACAGATACATGTTTAAAAAAAAAAATTTTGTGACATGTAAAAGAAAATGTTTTGGGTATTCCCACTGGGTTAGGACCCCCCTCCAGTCCCTTTCCCCCCCCCCCCCCCCCCCCCCCCCCTTTTTTTTTTTAAATTTAGGGCTAATTGATGTAAGCTGTGTTGGTTAAATTGTGGTTAAACTAAATTGCTTTGTTGTAGCACTCTGTAGCCATAAAACACAAATGATGATTTAGTAATGGGACACACTGCTAAACATTATAGGGCACATTGCTCCCACTGACATGCAACAACTGTATTTGAAAACAAACAGATGTTGTTCATTGTTCTCATTCTTTTTATTATGAAACTATGACACTATAAATACAGCTCAGATAAAAAAAAATCAAAAGCAAAAAAGTAGTAAAGGTTTCTTTTTCCAAACCTCTGAGGTTGTTAATAGAAGATGTTCACCACAGATCAGTTAGCATTAGATTCAATGCAGTTAGAATCATACTGGCCGCCTTTATGTTCCAGAACAGTTCTTAGTACTAGTTAAAGGTTTTGTCCATCCACTTGGGCACTCAGGTCAGTTTTTGCATTTCTGCCACAGTGTGGATTCAACATCAGGACAAGTGGGCTAGCAGGGAAAGTTTTGCCTTCTCACACAATCACACATCAAATCAGTGCTCCTGTCTCATCCTTTGCTCTCCCTCCTCCCCAATCAATCTTGCCGGTTGACACCTAGTTAGTTAGTTAGGTTATCGTCATTGCACTCCGGACATGTCCATAGGTGCTCAGATCCTCCCCTCAGTATGAACCCCAACGTCCGATGGCTAATAGTACCAGTTCTATGTGATAGCGGATCCAGCCAACCAGCTCTTTCATTTTCATCGACGCCAGCGTGTCCCGGAACAGAAATAAAGGTGACTCCATGCACAGTGGACTTCTGTAATGATTCAAGCCATTGTCTTCACGCTGAACCTGCCTGAACCCTCCGGATCATACTAATTGAATCACTGAGTATACATACGCGGGTGTATTTTTGTGTTTCAAGCCAGGCAAACGCTTGCGTCCATCACCTCCATCATCATGCTGCTGGTTGTCATGGAGAAGGCGCCGTTGGCTTCTTTGACTGTTCTGCCCGCTGAGCATGCTGTAAATGCCCATGCGCTTCTTCTTTGGCGTATAACAGATCCGTCTGTATAGATTATTGCATCTGCTTCGTCTGAATTTTCACTAATGAGAGCGTTGACCTCTGCATTAACAGCAACAGGATTCTCTTCTCTACATCACCTGTTGAGTGTGACAATACAGGAAAATGTACAAATAAATGCTTGAGGCACAGGTATCCATTCTGCACCAGGTATGATGTCGGTTAGGCTGCATATTTGCCTAATAACATTTTCTGCCCGACCTAGCCACTATTTTCCCTTCTTCAGTCTGTTGCCCTTTTCATTAAAAAGCACTTGATGCAGTGGGTATTTCTTATCAGCACATATTTTAAGGTATGCCCGAGCCCTCCACATCCTGATCCTTTGGTTCATTGTTGGAAAGTCATTGCTCCACAGGATGTGTCTCTTGTACATCCCAAAATAATGCGCATGTCTTCATTTTGCACCTTTTCGAGTCATTCAATCTGGGTAGCACTGACAGTGAGGATGGCCAGAGCGTATTCAATGGGGGAAAGGACCAGACCGTAGAATAGAAGTATTAGTAGTCTTTGCTCAATATTGGAAGCAGCCATAATCCTCATTGCAGATAGAGCTTTGCGTGCTTTTGTTATCACATGGTCAACATGGTTGACACCAAGTTTGAGTCAAGTGTTCCCGTAATTCATTTTCATGGACAAAATAGTGGGAATATATGTCTGACATTAAAGATGTCATGGTTTCAACAGAATTATTTTGTGATTATTATAAATTAATGTGAATAAATTTACTGTGTGGGTTCCTTCCAGGGCCCTGGGGGTGGGGGGGGGGGGGGGGGGGGGGGGGGGTTTTGAACTCACCGATCCTTAAAAAGCATGTTGAAAAAAGCATTTTTTGTTGAATGTGGGGGGGGGGGGAGTGGTCTTCTTGGCATGGCGTCCACCTCAAGTGATGGTCCCAGGTTCAAGGCCAGGTGAAGGCTGGGAATTTTTTTTTTCACATAGACTTATAGTAGTTTTCCCTATCTCTGGATGGTAAAATTAGACACCCGTGTGTATTGTTGCGCACGTTAAAAAAAAATCCCTTGGCAGTTGGAAATCTAAAAAAGTAGCCTAGCGGCGCTGCCCGGGCAAAATTTAGAATTAAAAGGGCACCAGAAGTGTATCAGGTTCCTTGCCGGTGCTACTGAGTTTATGCACTGCGCTGAGATTTTTCGGTGTCAGGCTTGAGTTAGAAGTAGAACGGAGCACTTATGGGCTACTACCCTTCTTGTGCCATGATGTTGATCCGGTTTTTTTTAACCAAACTTCTAATAAGCTCAGCATCCAGTGTGACAAGATAATTTTAATTTTAAAATCAGATTTACTATGGGCAGTGAGAGCGAAGAGAAAAAAACCTATAAAAATGTAGCAGGCATGGAAAGCCTACATTCAAACGATAATGGATGGAGATTAATCAATCTTGCCGTAGCGAAAGGACTACAGATGTTGTTTGTTTAATCTCACATTCCAAAACAGTTTTTCTGTGCCCAGACCAGTAGAAACAATTAGTTACCATGCATAGTGACAATGGAAAAAATGCAGAAAATATACAAACATCACAACAGAAACAATATATAAAACAGCTTTATTCTCCCAAAACAATTGTTAAAAACATTTGTAAAAATTGAGCAGTATACAGATTCTCTCAATACAAAATGAATTATTATATAAACTAGTATAGTTTCAAGTAATTTGCAAAGTGTATGACTTTACAGGGCAATAATTTGCCACTACTCAAAATCAAGATAAAGTGATCTGCTACCAAATTGGTTGCAGCTGACTTTGAACCACAGAATCTCAAGATTGTTAAACTGCACAATCTGAAGCCACAGATACTCTAATAAACTAAAGATCTACATTTCGCTCCTTTATGTTGTCTCAGCTTTCAAAGACTCCACCAACAGACTGCTCAAAAATCAACATCCTGACATCATGTTAGTAAAACTATACTTTATGGATCTACACTCCCCTCCCGCTCACTGCTTCCCTTTTGTAAGTCTCAAAGCACTCATAGAATACATTCCTTAGTGCCAGGGCTCGAGGATCATCAAGCATGTACATGGCCAAGTAGTTGGTGGAGTAAACCACACCTACACCTGCTGTCAAGTCTGCAAATGCAACACTGCCACCATAGCCGTAGTGGCCAAGTATCTTGTGACCCTGTTCAGACAAATAGAATTTGTGAATACAAAACTACACAATTTGAGTGGTGTGTGACTAGGGGTATAAGGTGTGACTCCATATTATGTGTGACCAGTGATATGTTTTACCAGGGGTGATTTGTAAATAGAGGTAGTGTGTGATACACAGTGATGTGTGACTGCAGATGATATGTAGCCAGAAGTTATTTGTGACTAAAGGTGATGTATGGTTAAGGTGGTGGTGGCTAGGGGCGAGTATGGTTAGGGTGATGGTGACTAGTGGAGAGAAAGGTTAGGGTGATGGTGGCTAGGGGTGATGTGTGACTAGATGTGAACTGTAGCTACAGATTGTGTGTGACTAATGATGATTGTGTGACCAGGGACAGTGTGTGACTAGAGGTGTGACAAAGGTGACATTTGACCAGGCTGAAGTGTGACTTGGAGGTAATGTGTGACTAGGGGGTGATATGTGACTAGATGTAATGTGTAGCTACAGGTGATGTGTGTCTAAATGTGATGTGTATAACTAGATGTGATCTGTAGCTAAAGGTGATACAAGTATGTGTGACTAAAGGTGATCTGTGACTAGATGTGACCTGTAGCTACAGGTGATGTGTGACTAGAGATGATGTGTGACAAAAGGTTACAATGATTCAAAACATTCTGCACCTGAAGCTTGCACACAGAAGTCTTTCACTCAGTGATCCCCGCTTTCACCCTACAACCTCTGACTGTCACTCAAACCTAAAATGTTATATCTTCAGAATTCCCACTAACACCCATATTAGAACACACAGAGGGAGTTATAGATATATTGTGGCTTCATGCCATCATCTTAAACCATCCAGCATTATTCCTGTCGATCTACCTCTTCCTCCACAGATTTTTCCAGTTGTTACTTTAATGCTTCTGTGCTGATCACATGATCAACAGGAAGTTTAGATAAGCTTTTCAAATTTACTTTAATGAGATGTTATGGTGGCACGCCCTTATCAGCAAACAATAACTAGAAACAAAACATAACAACACAAAGATGGAAATTCCACAAAATAATACTTCTAAAGTTACAAAATACCTGCTTGTTGTCCATGGGAAACAGTCCACGAGTGATTGGGTTCTTCAATATAAAGGTGCTAGGCATTTTTGCAGTCAGAGGCCCCTGAAAAGCTTCTACCAGAGCTGGAGACAGCAGACGCTTTGCTTTAATGCTGCCATTGTTTGCCAGGTAATCAAACAATTTTGCTAAGTTCCTGGCAGGACCAACACCCATAACAGCTGGGTGGCCAACAGATAACACATCCGGGTTGTTAAAATCATGGTTCTGGATGAAGAATAATGTTAATCTCTCAGTTTTTTAACAGAAAATGAATTAAAGATTACAACAATTGTACGCTATAGTCTCTAAATTTCAATGCATCATGCTGAGGATATAATATTTATCAAATAAAGAACGTCAGTAAAATGAATGGTGTGGGAAGATTGGCTTCATTCTTCTCTTTCTTCTGTGGTCTCACTGATACCAGGTTGTAGCCCAGTGTTGTAGTTTTCTGTATTTGTCTTGTGCTTCTTAAGTGGCTTGGGTGATGGATTGGTTCATCTTTGTTTTTGTTTTTTTTGTGCAGGTTTTAGCTACACCAATAATCCATCTCTTTCTTGGTCTCCACCCCTTCCACCCAGATGTTCTGTTTAAAAAAACACACACAAAAAAAGCTCTCGCTGCAATGGGTTTGATTCCAAATGGCTCTATCTATCTGCATAGAGTGGTATTTTGCTTGCAAAAGCATTACACAAACTCTACAGGATCTCTGAAATTACTGGACTCACAAACCAAAGGACGAACTTCAAAACCGAACAAACAGCTTTCAGAACTTGAGATAGCACATTCCCTAGGAGTGGATAATCCCCATGATCTTGGGAAGTAGATCAGATGCCAAGTCATCCATGTTAAAAGCTAAACAAGCAGACTGCATGTGCATGATGCAGGATCCATGATCTTTCTCCATGTGGGTTCCGAGACCCCATTTCAGAGAAATAAAAGAATAGACCCACTGGTCCCCAAAACAAGCATGTCGGAAAAGTCAACTAATTAGACAGATGAGGAACCAACAGTCTGCATACAAGTAAGCCAGATCTGTAAAAGAGATGTGCATGCAACATACAAGTAAGCCAGATATGTAAAACAGATATGCATGAAAAAGTCAAGTTCAGGAATAAGACCAAAGTTCAAAAATTCAAATAATGGACACAAACAATATATTGCACAATTTATTGTGTGGCATATTTCGCTGTTTCGTGTCAGGTGCAATTACTGCAGATTTGCATCAAAATATAATGAAGCATACAAACAAAACAAAAAACATTCCTTTTTGCTGAAATATATAAATTGCATTGTCAATTTAAGCTGTGCATCTCTCCACCAGAAATTCAATATTAGCCGTGTATTTATGTACTTTAGCAAATAATGGTTAAATTGTGTGTGTGCTATATTATGTTTATTTAAATTTGTAGCAATTGCACATGATAAACAGCAAAATATGTCAGGCAATAAATTGTGCAATATATTATTTGTGTCCACATTATTTGAATAAACAATGGAAAAACATTGTTCTGAATTTGTTTCCCCCCTTCTTGGAATACATTCTGAAAGACGTTTTATGCAATGAAGATAGTTCCTAAATATTCAGGAGCTTAAAATTATGTGAACAAATACGGTCACCTACGTCTATGTTCATGCAAACGGCAATCTTCATATACTGGTTTGTATACATTTCTATCATAGATGTCAGGTCAAAACGAAGCTCCCAAATGCTGGCCGGTTGAACCCTGGCAAATCTGTGATATTCCTGTTTTGGAAGACCTATGTAGAATTCAATATCTGGAAGACAAACACACAAATGAACTATACTGATTATAGATTTTGTCTAAACATTAAGATACATTTGTAATGAACAAATGTGTTACTTTCAAAATTAGTGTATAATTTAGAAATCATAATCTATGATATTTATTTTTTGGAAGACCTATATATAATTCAACATCTGAATGACAAACATACAATGGAACCATATTCTTATTCTTCTGGTTTAGCAGCTATCAACTCTGGGGGGACGTTCTGGTTGTTTGTCCACTTCTGGACACCGATCTTCCGTCTAGAACTTGAGTTTTGTGTGCACATTTACTTTACATATAGATCCGGCTCATTTTTATGACAAGCTTTTTAAAGGGCTGCGAGTCTATTCTTTGTCCTCAAAATATAGCCTTAGAACCCAAATATTTTCCTTAAAACAAATTTTGTTTTAAAGAAGTGTCAAGGGAATACATCTCTGGAGTAAAACCAGCCTAACAGCAGTCCCAGTCCATTTTTAGAAGGCTGGGAATCAGCTGTAGAAGGGAACTGATCATCCCATATGTCATGGCTCACATTTCACGTCCCAACAGGAGCGTCTGTTATGGGATTAATTTTTTTATATTAAAGTTAAAGTCAAGAGAATCGACTTCATTGCACTAGGTTTTTCTCAAAATGGTTCACACTCTCTCTCTCTCTCTCTCTGCAGAACAGCAGGCTGCCAGCTAAGAGTGTCATACAGTGCATAGCCCCAGTGACGACACCAAGGATCTTCACAAAAACTGCCCCCCCCCCCCCCCCTTTCCCCCCTCCCCTGAAATGAACAGAGAATCTGTGAAACAAACCCATGATTTTGAGAGTAAAAGGCAAATTGCTTGACCATATCGCTATGAACAGACTCCCACGCCCTCCCCCCAGTTGTATCTGTGGCTTAGGCATTGCAAACATGCTTCATAATGCTGAGCTGCTGGGTTTGATCACAGCTGCAGGCAGTTTGGTAGCAGAGTACCCTCCACTAGTTTTGACAGAGGTATCGAGGGCTGACCATTGAGAAGCAATAGCAAACTGCTAAATGTAAAACTGCCTAGTTAAACCAGAATGCCACACAGAAGTTTACAAGTGGCTGAAAGCCTCAAGAAAATAATGAAAGAATGCTGTTTGAATGAACTATGAAGCAAGCGGAAGACAAAGTTACAAGTGAAAGCAAAGCGAATGTTGTTTGAAGACTATGAAGCAAGCAGAAGACAAAGTTACAAGTGGCTGAAAGCATCAAGAAAATAATGAAAGAATGTTGTTTGAATGCACTATGAAGCAAGCGGAAGAACACAAAGTTACAAGTGGCTGAAAGCATCAAGAAAATAATGAAAGAATGTTGTTTGAATGCACTATGAAGCAAGCAGAAGACAAAGTTACAAGTGGCTGAAAGCATCAAGAAAATAATGAAAGAATGTTGTTTGAATGCACTATGAAGCAAGCGGAAGAACACAAAGTTACAAGTGGCTGAAAGCATCAAGAAAATAATGAAAAAATGTTGTTTGAATGAACTATGAAGCAAGCGGAACACAAAGTTACAAGTGGCTGAAAGCATCAAGACAATAATGAAAGAATGTTGTTTGAATGAACTATGAAGCAAGCGGAACGCAAAGTTACAAGTGGCTGAAAGCATCAAGAAAATAATGAAAGAATGTTGTTTGAATGAACTATGAAGCAAGCGTAACACAAAGTTACAAGTGGCTGAAAGCATCTAGAAAATAATGAAAGAATGTTGTTTGAATGAACTATGAAGCAAACGGAAGACAAAGTTACAAGTGACACAAATTTGAGGAAATGTGTATTAATGCACCTTGAAACAATCTGAAAGGCAATCTGAATTATTTCAGAGGAGACCGGTGGAAAATAGGAAAGTCATGGTTGGCAGTAACTAAAGATACCATTAGGCTGGCAGCCTCAGCTGAGCAAAAAATGTAGGCAGCAACAATGTGGATTGGCAGGAAACACACAACAGCAGTTTCCATCAGGTCATTATCACATAGGTAAGAGAATTTAAAGAGTGGTATAATGGTAATAGAAGAATTTTAGGAAAGGCAACACCAACACATTTGGAACAAAGCATTGTGCAAATGTTAGCAGATCAGAAAATGTATGCTGGGTCTGTCCACCTGCCCAGATCTTCACTCCTAAACCAGCAATAAACACAAGGACAGGTCCTGGTCTGCCCTAGCACTACATTTTTTTTTTTAAGGCTGAATTTCCTCATCACAGGATATGAATAATGATGCACAGATGTCCATATATGTTTACATGAATTACTACCATGAGTACAGTCAACAGCAATCTACTGACCAAGTGGTAAAGCAATTTCCTCCTGGAAAAACTGAGACAGGTTTCTTTGTTGTGGGTCAACCTTACGAACAAGAGCATCTGCATACATCCCGTATGTATAGATATGATATCCAAAGGCAGTTCCTTTATAAGAGAACAATCAAAATTAATGCAACGTAATGTAACCAAAAAGAGTAAATCAATTATTATTTTTAGCACACTGAAATCGTATCTGTTCTAACGAGACTGTATGATACAGCTAGCTAGAGAATATTATTTAAATATTACAAACTTAGATATATATATTTATATATATAAACATATGTAAATATATGTACGTATATATATATATATATATATATATGTATTTACACACACACACACACACACACATATATATATATGCAGAACAATAAAGATACACTAAGCAATTTTTTTTTAAAGAAAGAAAAAAAAAGAATTTAAAAAAAAAAAAAAAATTTCGACCACACTAAACAAGATAAAATTCTTTTAAACTATACTGGAAGGACAAGTCAAAGGCAAAACAGCAATAGGTAGACAACAATACAAGTGGAAGCATAACATCAAGAGATGGACGACAGCAGTCTCTGAAAGTGTACAAAACAACAGACAGAGTGTTAGAGATCTACTGCTGCCCACTTTCACTGTGGAGACAGCACTTAACTGAATGACTACTGAAAATGTATCAGACAAGGAAACTGGCAAAGCAGTGGGAATCTTTGTGGCCAGCTGTGATAAAACTATCATTCTACAAAGGATACATTACATGCTGATGATTCTTACATTTAATCAGCTTTTCATGTTTTTCAGATCATAGTGGTACACATGTTGGTAAATGATTTCACAGAACACAAAAGAATCAAATGTTTTGGTCACTTGGTTAGAATGGAAGAAAAAATTGTCCAGCACCTAGAGCATACTACATGAGAACAGCAGGCTATGAGGCAACAGGCTGACCAAGAAAGAGATGGGTGAATGGAATAAGGGAAATAACAGAAATGCAATATGACACTACTACAAGCAAAACAACTAATAAAAGGCAGAAAACTACATCTAACTTCTCTCTGCGACACTTGAAGCACAAGCAGTAGGATGAAAGAAGAAGAAGTGATACAAAGTTGTTGACATGCAGCTACATCAATATCATAAATATACCTTTTAGTTTGTGATATTTTGAGTTATATTGAGTTTTTGAGTGTTTTATTTTTCCACAAGATTAAAGCTAAATAGTTTACTTTAACTGCTAACTTTCTCAACCAGCCTTGCATCTATTTCAGCAAAATGAAAAACATACCCGACAAACAAAAAGCATCTTGGTAATTTTGCTATTTAGTTTAAAAAAAAAAAAGTAACATGTTTGAAATAAAAATAAATAATTGGATGCTACAAAAAGAATGCTTACATTAGAAGTGTACTCATGAGCAGGAGAAAACACTTGCTTATTGCTAATTTAAGACCCTTTCAACAGGAAATCGTAACACATGCTTTTGATATTTCAACTGTTTCATTGGGGCTTCCAACTTCCCTCTGGGGGGAAAATGAATAGACATACTGCTACTGCCCCCCCCCCCCCCACCCCCCCCCCCCCCCCCCCCCCCCCCCCCCCCCCCCCCCCCCCCCCCCCCCCCCCCCCCCCACCCCCCCCCCCCCCCCCACCCCCCACAAGCATGCCATTAAAAAAATAAAAAAATACTAATTAAGGATTTACCATCACAGTTGGTGTGTATCTGCCTGAGAGGCAAGAAACCAACAGTCTGCATGCAAGTAAGCCAGATCTATAACACAAAGGTTTTTTTAAGCACTTTTTTTTTTCAGGCATAATTTTTTTCAGTGCTAATTCACAGACACAGTGGGTGAGTACCAGCATCTTTAAAGACACTTTGCAGTGAATACCAGTAGGTTTTTCTGTGTAGAAAATAAGCCTGATAGCATGGATGTGCATGTCAAACTCAAGTTCTGGAACAAGATATATCATTCTTATCATGTAGCAGGTCCTTTGCAGAACGTCGCTCTATCACGGTCTACCTGAAAGAAACTCAGACTCTCGCCAGCTCTCCTGCCTCATGTACTCTCATACCCAAGGAGTCACTTATATCCTGTGCCCATCTTCGTGTTGGCCGGCCCTTGCCTCTCCTTCCTGGTACGGAACAAAACTACTCAAGTCCAAAAGTGGACAAACAACCAGAACTGTCTCCCAAAGTCTACAGCTGGTAAACACTAGGAAAAAGAAGAGATTTTCACTGTCACTAACATGTCAACACGTCTCACCTGGTGGCCAGAATGGTTTTTGTTTTGCCAACTGATTTTCCACTTTATCCCAGTTATTCTGGTAATCGTTGATACTGACTTTTTCATCCAGCCCTATCAAGCCAGCCTGTTATATATACACAGAGAATGCCAATTGTCAACAGGCAATAAACATACTCTTTTTTTTCTTTTGCATTTCACTGGATCATTAGTCGACAATTTACCCTCAATGCACATCGAACCATTGAATCCATGAGTGCTCAGATCCCCTTCTCAGTAAATCCTGCAGTGTGCAGTGGCCGATGACACCAGTTCATATTGGTTTCTAATTCTTCTTTGGATACCTGCATGGTGCTCTTGTCCGGTCACACGCCTTTTAACTTGCTGTTCTTGCAGTCTAGTCATTGTTGCAGATTCAGTCACTTGCTTCTCGCAAGCATCTTACTTCTCATAAAAAATTCAGTATAACAGCCTGGTCCATGACATCCGTCCTTCAGTGTAGCCTAAGCTTCAAGTCTATCCGCTTGCTCATTTCCTTGCATGCCTGTGTGCCCTGGCATGAAAATGAAACTGATTTTTGCCAACCCCAACCACCTCAGAGACACCAACCAATTTGTAGACCAAAAAGGAACCCAGCCCATCTGTCTAAAGTGATTATGAAGTAAAATAAAACAATGGTCAAATAGGGCTAAACTCATATATTTATAGATATACTGACACTCAGTGGGTGATGTGGTCAACATCACACCAGCTACCGTCACAAGGGCATTTCTTGGTACACATTTTAGGTATGTCAACATAAGAGCCTTTTGTCAATTGCACAAAAATCAGCCTTAATGTGTATTCAAATCCAACATCTTCAAACTGATAAGCAAGCACCTGGCAACTGCATGACTACTGCTAACTCAATGTTGGAAATGGGGATCATCATGCACCAGCAGGCCCAGTCCCAGCAGAAAGCTCATTAATACAGTACAACTGGCAATGAAACTCCTGGTGCATTTGCTAGGGCGCTGTGGGCTGGATTAGGCCCAAGGGCTGCCAGTTGAACAGCCCTGTCATGCAGCATCACATATAGACGACATCACTAGAAAGTCATAACAAACATTAAAGGAAGGCAATAGAGGCCCCAATACAAAAATCACAAGAGGATTACTTCACAACCATCAGTCTGTATAAAACGAATTCATTGCATGATTTCTGGATTAATCTAACCAAATGTAAAAATTCAAATCCTGACTGGTACTGTTTACATAAGTTGTGTTACTTAGACAGAAAAAGTTACACAACACACGTCCGATGTTGAGTGACCACCTCCTTTTTCACATATCTATATTATATCCTTAAACTCAGAATACTGCAAAAGCCCTATTTAAAATTCAGTGCATCAGAGCTGTTTGCTAACATTCAATGTGCTGGGCAGAAAAGTGTAGATACTGCACCTAGCTGCAAACCACAACACAACACACCAACCACCCTTTCTAAGGTGAATGCAGAAGAAATTTTTAAAAAGGCACGCAAAAAAAAATAGGCAAACTGGTTGTGAACCAAATATCAAGGTTAACACTTTATCATTAACTCTTTTGGGGGCCACCATATTGTAGTGGCTAGATGTTCACATATGGATCGGAGGGTCGTGGGTTTAGGTCCTGACGGTGCCAAACTTACTTACATTAACTCTTTCAGTACTAAATAATGTACTATATGTTACTTGGTTATTCCAAAGGACGAAGTATTTTCTTGCCATCTTCTGAAGTAAACAGATGTAACATTAACAGTTTGTATCTGAATTATTAGTTTATCCACTTCCACCCCATAGTGACTCTGTTTAACTCGTTCAGACCTAGGTATGTATGCTGTTTAAGTTCCAGGGATGGAAGGAGTTGAAAGTTACAGTAACAACTGCTTGGGACTCAAAGAGTTAATAATTTATCCGTTTCCATGGCAATAAACCTATAGTCTTGGTATGCTATCTCATATAACTGTTAGAGCATTAGATTAGGTCCGGTTTCTTTCTTATCCTGACTATGCCATGTGGCCAATACATCTAGCTTGTCTTCCACTTGCTCTTTTCTCATCAAATTTTTCAGCAGCTATTAAGTAATCAAGTTCTGTCTCACATGTCTAATAAAATCTTGACTGCCACTGCTCCTCTTTGGTGCATGTTAAAAGTGGGGGACATCATGATGTTACCATGTTCATCTGCACCGTGATGTCACTCCCTTAATACTCTTGAGCTCCTGAGTAACAAAACTGACATTTTACAAGACAATGGCTTAGTTATTGTAATTTCTACCATGTTTTTAACTCTTTCATCTGAAGCCCAACATATAAGTTCTACACACACGCACAATGTTAATGTGATGAGACACAAAGGGAGATACAGAGACACAGTGAGAGAGAGAGAGAGTGTGTGTGCGTGCGTGCACATGAATCTGTATGCTGATGTAAATGCTCAAACACTTACCTGATGGTTTAGGAGCATCTCTACTGTAATGTTTTTCTTATCTTCAGTGCCAAACTCTGGCCAGTAGTGATAAACTTCCTTCTTATAGTCAATGTATCCCCTGTCACAGATACAAGTTGTCATGATCAACAATCAACACACAATGCATTCCTGTAAGTAAATGCTATTTTATAACTAACATGAAATTAGGTTTTATACAAACTAATACCAAACTATTTTTTTTTTCAGACATTCTGGCAGTTAACATCATCAAGTGCTATCTTGCAGCTATAAACAATTTAATGAAAACATATTGCCTGTTGCAAAACATAACCAGCTGTTATCTTTATTTTTAAACACTTGTACATGTATGTGTTAAATTAATAACTATTTCATCAGCTGAAAAGATCTGAACTTATTAACTCTTAGATAGGAACAGCACCAAGCAGTTTTCACAGCACAGGCCACTAATTCACAAGTAACCTATATTCACAAATAGTTGGACATCCAATACTTTCCTACTCTATAAACAGAAAGTTACAATTACAGCATTTTTAATCACCGTTTGCGTTGTTGTGTTTGGGAGATGTGTTTTAAAAAGGCTGTTTGTCCTCTGGTTGTTATAAAGTGCAGAGATCAGATCTGTGGTCTGCAAGTAATGTCTTCCTTATTCCTAGTTGGAACATACAGCCACAATTATAGTAGACCTAAAGCACTCAGTGTAAAACAGTGGTCTTGAGGTCAGTTCCCATAGTAAAGGTATTCTGATTATTAATAAGCATTTTGAGCACTTCATAAGCTTTATAAACAAGGCTCTAGATCTGAGGAAACAAAGCTGGCCAATGTAGTACTGCCTGTTTTTTTTTTTTTGCCTTCTGAACTGCTGCCTGAAGGTTTTCTCACTCATGATACTACATGAATCATATTGCTGCAACAAGAGGACAAATCCCAGATATCCTATCTAATCTTCAACGGCATATGTGACAACTACCTTGTGCTACTCAGTGAATCCTGCAGTACTGTGTGGGTAAATACTAACCATTTTTTTTTTTCTTGCATTCTTAAACTATACACAGACACATAAGATATATATAATGGAGCAGTCAGTGAAAAACACAAAATTCAGGTCATTTGCTATATACGTAATGGAGGGGACATCATACAATTCACACAATGGAGCAGACAACGAGAGATGCAACATACAGGACATTGTACTTTTAACATAATGGAACAGTCAGTGAGAGACATAACATAAAAACACTGTACTGTTAACATAATGAAACAGTCAGTGAGAGACATAACATAAGGACACTGTACTGTTAACATAATGGAACAGTTGGTGAGAGACACAACATAAGGACACTGTACTGTTAACATAATGGAGCAGTTGGTGAGAGACATAATAGAGAGGACTTCATAATATGCACATAATGGGACAGCCACTGCCCTTAGGTAAACAAATAACACTTACATATCAACCAGTCTGGCCATGACGATGGCAGTAACTCCTTTAACCATAGAAAATGACAAAGATGCTGTATCCTCCTGCCAGTGTCTTTGTGATGAAATATCAGCCCATCCACCCCACATGTCTATTAATGGTTTCCCATTGTGGTACACAGCAAAGGCAGCACCCCGCTCAAATCCACTTTCAACATTCTGCCTGGGTGGAATAAAAAAACAATTATATAATATATTTATAGAAACAAGATGATCAATTTATGTTACTGAATTTTAATTTGCATATTTCTTTTGATGTCTGCTGTAGAACAGACATTGGTGATCATCACCATCATGTAGCAGGTCCTTTGCAGAACTTTGTCTGAAAGAAACTCAGTCTCTCACCAGCTCTCCCGCCTGATGCACTTTCACACTCAAGGAGTCACTTATATCCTGTGCCCAGCTTCGTGTTGGTTGGCCCCTGCCCCTACTTTCTGGTACCTTGCCTTCTGCTATAATTGTTTTCCAATCCGTTGTGGTGCTTGATATGACTAAAACATTTCAGCTTCTGAGACAGGATGCTATTTATTGGTGATGGTAACTCTATAATTTTCTCTGCCATGTGATATTTCTATGAAGTTGGTGTTGCCCACATTATTATTTCTTTATTTTCTTTTTCTTTTTTCTACTGTCAAGTATTTTCCCAATAAGGCTAATTTCTCTACTGCAGCTCTTACAGTGCCACATCCCATTCATTTTATTTGGTTTTTTCTATGTATTTGATTTGTAAGCTAGTAATAAATCCATTTCTAAACACAAAAACAAAAGTCTATTCTGCTGAGAATAACCCACACCTCAAATGCTTCCACTTTCTCCATTATTTAATTACTCATTGTCCAGTTGGGTGTCTGTAGCTTAGGTATTGTGAATGTGCTTTGTAACACTGAGATGATGGGTTCGGTTCAAGCTGCAGGTGATTTAGCAACAATTAACTACCTTTTCAAAACCCACATCTCAATTGCCTCCAATTTCTCCATTACCTCATTACTTATTATCCACCATCTGTATCCATATAGAACAGGCCACACACAGTTGTTCACAGCTTGTAAGCCTTAGCTGTACATGGGGTTTCTAGGATGGCTACTGTATAACTAACTATAAATCAGAAGAAGCATTTTCAAACTGTTTCATCTCTGAAACATCTTCACTCCGGTGAACAGGCTAACTGATTTAGAATGTGCAGCACTTTTATGTGAGGGTAAAAATAATTATTTTGCAATTACCATCATAAAAGTGTTAGATGTCACGTCCTCATATATCAGATCATGACAAAATGTGAATGGGTGACCAGAGCTTTACCTGTTGCATTTTTTTTATCACAGTCATGCTGAAGAAATATAATAAACACAAGACACAGGAAAACTACACAAAAGACTGAATGATGACATCAAGAACCACCTTAAAGAAATGAAGATCACCCTACACACCATTTGAAAAAGAACTGACCTCCCAGCTAAATAAACAAATCAGATCATTCTCCAGGAAATCAACTGATGGAAACTTGCAAAGAATGGAACAAAGAAGACATAAAACATCCATTCACTGTCACTACTAGAAATCAAATCACATATCAAGGGAAATACAGGGAATTGGGAGAGAAAAAATCACTGTAAACATCCATAAGACCCCATCAGCAGACTCAATAGAAAGCCATATTTTTCAGTAACTTGTCCATCTAAGAACAGGGAAACATGGCAGGCTCAACTACCGTATGCATAAAATAAAGTTTGTACAGTGCACTAAGTGTGCATGTCAGATGGGACCACAAACATCAAAGCACATCCTGTAGGCCTGCACACTGTACTACTTACAAATATGAAGAGAAGCTTGGCCTCAATAGCATAGTGTGTAGAGCAAGCCATGGGAAACCATAGAAAACTGGCAAATAGCATGCACATTCCTAGGGGCAACCCACCTGACTGACTGACCTGGGCATAGGAAACTGAACACCAAAAAGAAGAAGAAAGATACACTATGCTAGAAAAAGCACACAAGGTAACTACGTCCTCCTGCAACACTTTAAGGAGGTAACTGGAGGAAGACCCCGAAAAAAAAAATATTTTCTGACTAGAACAATTCTGCAGTAAGAAATCAGAGAGGAACAACGATGCTAGGATGTTCAAAGATGATGTCATGAAGCAATATCAATAATGGAAATAAGCAAGAACACTAAGGGCAGTGGAGAGGCATAAACCTCAACATCATTGGGCAAAGCACATGATGATGATGAATGTCATAATGATGAATACTACTATATAAATCAGAAGCAAAAAAGTTAGTCATTGTGTGGACATTCATTAACTGGTGTCTGTGCAGAACGAATGAGTTAAAGCTGTATGACAAGTTCAACAATGTGATGCTCAAAAAAGAACACACATTCCAGTAAATCAGGATGTGAGGAAGAGACTCAGTTGCTGGTTTGTACACACAAGAAAAACTTATTAATAGCATAAGTGGAAAGTTCTACTAAAGACAGCATGGTAAAATAAACAGGAAACCTAAAACCACAAATAAAAGAGAATCATAAAGACACATAAGGAAAGACGAGTAAGGTACTACAAGAGGCAATATAGCAGGGGCGCAGATACAAAGAGAACATTAGAGGAGGAAAGTAGGCATTAGATGAGGGGCTTCTAGATTTTCTCTGTTTGATGCAAGTATTTGAAATATCACCCCTTAAATATTCAAACTGTATTTTTTTTTTCGTTGCTTATGCTGCCTCTCTGCATTACAGCATAGCAGGACCCTGAGAATATGCCATGTTTAAGTACATATTAATAATAATTGAGAATAATAACAAAGTGTTTAATGGCACATACAAATATATATAAAATAACACAAGATATATCATTAATTACATCGGGGAAAAAAAGAGCTACACATGACTGGGAGAGGAGGGGGCCCTCTTAGCTCCCTTCAAATCTTCTACGGAGCTGGGGTCTCAATTGGCCTCAACCCCTAGTTTCTGGGGTCTCTGCATTAGAGGATAATAGTGTGTGTGTAAGATGGTTGAAGGTTTATGCTCCAGCCAAAGAAAAGAGGGCCAAGAAGAAACTATCTACTTTCAAAATTACTTACTTAAACACTTCTGCAACTTTCCTGAATGCTGGATGGAAGTAACCAGAAACTCTGGGTGTCTGATTCGTCTTCAAACCATAGTTGTGTACATAAAACTGCCAGGCAATGTACGCAACCAGCAGGCCAAGTATATTTGTCACAGCGGCCATCTTTTCCTGTCTTCAAACTGCATCAATAATATTATTTGTTTTATCACATTTAATGGGCATTGGTTTTAATATTAGCAGTTACAATCATGTTGTAATATGTATCGCACTCAAGGTCATTTCTCTTGACATACCTTGCTCAGAAATGACTCAACTACTGTATAAATAACAATAATCGGTACTACCTGTCCCCTGTTAACTCTGTTAGATATGACTGAGCCATCGAATAACAGTAACTGGCACTACCTGTCCTCTGTTGATGCCAAATCTTGGATGGCATATACCAAACCTGACATCCGCCATTGTGCCAATAGTCTCAGGCAGAGAATCACATTGGGAGAGGATAAGCCTTAACCTAGAACAAGAAAATGCAAACTTAAAACTTGTAGCAGGGCATACCTGACCAAAAATAATGACAATGCTTATTAGACCCACTCAGAGAGCAGTGCCAGGAATGAAGAGCACAGGTAAACCTGACAAAGACTTCCTTGATATGGTTTTCCTTAAATACCCACATTGTAGTATAGTACACTACACCAGTCATGAGCATGTGTGGTATAGACATCAACAGAACGAAACAATGCGATACTTTGACATAATTTTTGACAGATGCTTGTCATACATGCATCACATAGACAATGTCATAGTTAAAGCCAGGCAATGAAGGCAATGGTATATGCCAACATTGAACAAAGCCTACTTTTCCTGCTCTATCATGAACCTGTACTAAAGGTTACAGAATATGGCCTGGGCCTCCACACTGTCAGCAGAACCCAGCTAGAAAGCCTGGACAGGGTACAAAATGAGGCTGTGAGACACACCTGTCTGCACAAAAGACAACCGGTGCCACGCCATGTGGGATGGGTTTACCGATGATGGCCACAAGATAAAGTGGCACAGGTGAAGGGCATACATGAGAACATCAGCAGAAATCAAAAACCCACTGCACAACACTATTAATTATATTAAAGGGATGCATCTCAAAAGAGGCTTTTCCTGGACAGCTGTCAGAAAACCTAATCCAGAAGAATGTGACCTAGATAAGATAAGTCATGGAAAAGAATGGATGGATACACCAGTAGACTTGCATGACTTCTACAAAGTTGTAATAAAACTAGGAAAGTACTGCAAGAATTAGATACTAAGCACAGGCTGCAAAATGTGCCTTTCTGTGGCTGAAGCTCTGAAATATTTTTTTTTTTCAGTTAGATGTTTTCAATTCTGTTAATGACTATAAAAACTTACATTTTTTGGAAAGTGATTCAGTGAATTTACATCAACATCAGCGGGGTGGTCAGCTATTAGAAAATCTAGCAGTTCTGATGAGGTAAACCCAAGTGGGCCCATTTCATGTGTGGCGGTTGTGATAATCATACACATCTGCATCCAAAGGCCTGTTTTAAGCAGTACTATACTATGGCTAAGCTATATTGAGATGACTGCAGCTACAGTCTGTTTATAACTGTATATGTGGTTTTACAGAAGAATGCCTAGAATACGTTGACAGCCAAAAAGAGCAACCACGAGGTTTTGAAAGAGGCGGGAGCCCGAAGACAACTTATCCCAGACATCAGAAGGAAACAGTCATCATTTTTCGGCCATGTTATGAGAAGAGGGAAAATAGAACATGTTGTGACCACTGGAAAGATCTTTGGAAGGAGAGATAGAAGAAGACAACGAGAGAAGATAATTGACAGTCTAGTTGCATGGCATGGAGGTGTGTCTAGCACACGAACTGATACATGCTGCAGGAGATTGCGGATTATGGAGAGGCATGATTGCCCATGCCAGTCGGCAAGGCACCTGATGATCATGATGAAAGTAATATTTTGTGTGCATTGGTTAATTTTTCTGGCATTTTGTCTCTGAAATTATGTTCGGCACTGTTTGAGAACCTAGAGTCAGAGCTTCTATGAGTGACAACTACCTTAACTAACCTAGAAACTTATAAGTTTTGAATTTGTTAAGAAGCTGAACAAACTTTGAAGTGTTATCTCAGATATGGATATTCACTGCTCTTGAGGCTGCAAAACCATGGTAAGTTAAGAATGGTTTTATAAAATGTTGTCTTTGTAAACATAACACCTGCTGAAATTTTTTTTATATCAGTTGGAATGTGATATATTTATAATCCCTACAAAAGTGTTAATTTAAAAAAAAAAAAAAAAAAGATTGAATGTAAATTTGGAATCTGATGACATTTTTGTTTTGTTTAATGTTATAGATTGGATTTTATTTTTCATTTAAACACCCCTTCACCCCTTCCCCCCCCCCCCCCCCCCCCCCCCCCCCATTCACCCCTCTCCCCCAAATCCCCTCTTGTTTTCCATAATTTTTGTAAAGGGAAATTAATACAGGTCACGTCATCAAAATTGACGGGCATGAAAGAGTTAACAACAATATCCCCTTCAACTCATCTGGGTTATAAATCTATTTCCATCTTGTTTTCTGTCGTCATAAGCCAGTCATGTGTGAAGACAATTTTTTTTATAAGTGTTCCAATGAAATAAATTGTTTCTCAAGTCAGGGTCGACCTGGTAGCTAAGAAATTTTTTGAAAGAAAAAAAGTCTGGCTCCGTCATTACCATATACTATAAATAATTAATATTATTATATTAGTAAATAACTTAAAAAGCAGTCTTGAAATATTTTTTGTCGTTCCTTTGTGTGTCAACATGCTGACAAGCAAATGGTAATAATAATACTAATATGCTCTTCAATGTGTAATGAACCTCACAAACCAGCAAACTATACCTTGTCAATAATTTCCAAAAGTGTTTGCTTGAATTGATATAAAATACTTTGGCCTACATTGTCGTGAGTATCGCTTAGTCACGCAGTTCATAAGGTAATTTCTTGGTGAACTGATATGTGTTTACACCGTGTTTTGGGTGCACACCAGGGCTGCCAATGGGATTTTTCTTTTTAAACCCAGCTTAGCTAAACAAAAACCCAAGCAATACATAGACAAAGAACCAATAAAACATTAAAAAACCTAGATTGTTTAAAACAAACAAAACTTATAGTTGCGAAATGAATATTTACCACTTTTATATAAGGATATATTTTTAAAATACCAAGATTTCCCCAAAGCGTCATAGAAAAACCCAGATCTAGGGGGAAAACCCAGCATTGGTAGCCTGGTGCACACAGGCACTTTAAATGACAAACTAACCGGAAACCAGATATACAAGTAGTTTTCTTGGGGTTCTCACTTCTCATTGGCGAAGTGGTCAAGCCATTTGCATCGTGTTCTGAAAGTCGTAGGTTCGTTTCACGGCTGCGTTACTGAAAGTACAGTTTAATGGAGATCATCACCGGAACTAGGGAGTTCGTACTTTGTGCTACGCTTTCGCAGGCGGTTAGCCGTTCTGCAGAGAGAGAGAGAGAGAGAGAGAGAGAGAGAGAGAGAGAGAGACTGGATAAAGCCCGATACAATATAGTCCTCTCGACAATAACTTCTTTTTCCCATCGTTTCAAGGAGCAGAAAGTTCTGATTGTTCGTCAACTTAAGGACTTTCGTCTTGTTTCCAGAACCTAAGTGTTGCGTGCACATCCGTTTAACAGATCTGGCTCACACGAATCTTGGTTCCTTGCCTTTGAGGCAGATGCATTCCGAAACTGAAGGACGCCCCTAATTAGCCGACTCCTACGGCATGCTTGTTGGAAAGGCAGTAAGTCTGTTTTTATTTTCTCCACAATATGGCCTAGGAACCCATACTAGTGCTGCCTTTTTGCTTGCATGATAATGCGCTAGCTACTGCATCCCATTCACTTATCTATTAGTAACAACAGAGAAAAAGCAATGCAAGACACTAGCTTCCAGCATCGTGTCTCAGGTCAGTGCACGATTACGGCAAGCATGCGAGAAGTATCGATATTATTTCTGCAGCATCCACTCTACACTCACTGTCCTGGGACAACACCCTAAAAATCATGCTTTGACATTGTTATATAAGTTTTGCAAATGACAATTTAAGGCTGCCAATTTGGCATCAGTGAATGTTTTGTTGATACCTGTGCAATATATGTGACACTGAAATTAACATTGAAAATGATAACAGTATAAAGGAAAGTAAATTTGCATGCATTCAGGGGTATCATAGTTTATGAATAGATGTTTTCTAGATGGAAATCAGAGGTAAGCGTATTTTATTGTTCATAAATTCTGCATAAGAGTACTCTATTAATGAAAGAATGTCATATACAGTAAACCAGTTTCCCAAACAATTATATCTATCTATCTATCTATCTATCTATCTATCTATCTATCTATCTATCTATCTATCTATCTATTAATCTATCTATCTATCTATCTATCATATACAGTAATCTACCAGTTTCTATCTATCAAACATCTATTATCTATCTATCTATCTATCTATCTATCTATCTATCTATCTATCTATCTATCTATCTATCTATCTATCTATCTATCTATCTATCTATCTATCTATCTATCTATCTATCTATCTATCTATCTATCTATCTATCTATCTATCTATCTATCTATCATCTATCTATCTATCTATCTATCTATCTATCTATCTATCTATCTATCTATCTATCTATCTATCTATCTATCTATCTATCTATCTATCTATCTATCTGTCTGTCTATCTGTCTGTCTGTCTATCTGTCTATCTGTCTGTCTGTCTATCTGTCTGTCTGTCTGTCTGTCTCTATCTGTATCTATCTATCTGTCTGTCTATCTATCTCTATCTATCTATCTATCTATCTATCTATCTATCTATCTATCTATCTGTCTATCTATCTATCTATCTATCTATCTATCTATCTGTCTATCTATCTATCTATCTGTCTATCTATCTGTCTATCTATCTGTCTATCTATCTGTCTGTCTATCTGTCTATCTCTATCCCATCTGTCTATCTGTCTGTCTGTCTGTCTATCTCTGTCTGTCTGTCTGTCTCTATCTATCTGTCTGTCTATCTATCTATCTGTCTCTCTATGTCTATGTATCTGTATCTATCTATCTGTCT